ATTGCCCATTGGCCCACAAATACAACCTCATTTGGACCAATTACCTAAGAAAGAGTTCAAATTCTTCTATTTTTAAACCAGTTGTTTGGCATGTTTACAATTTGTGCCAAATTGGTACAGAGTCAAATTCTTCCATAGTGAGAATAGTAGTGACAGTTTGTGGTCCTAGTGATTGTAGTTTACTATTAATGATCTTTCTGTTTGTAGGAGGTCAGAGGACACTGCTCTTTTCATTTTAAAACAATTATATAAAAATAATAATAATAATACTACAGCTGCTGTTGGAGAGTTTACTAAATCTTAATAACTAACAATGAGCTGATTCTTATTCAATTGTGCTTTATAAAGCTTTGCCATTATTATTATTAATATTATTATTATTATTATTATTATTATTATTAAATTATTATTATTTGCAATTTTGTTAATAAAATTAAAGACATGTAAATTAAAATTCACACTGGAATACAGCCAAATTGTATAAAATAATTATAATAATAAATAAATAATTAATCTCCAGGTTGTGATGGTGAGTCTAGTTTTATTTTGCAGCCCTGACATACCCTTACTGTCTGTTGGAAAGCAGCTGGAGCTGTGAGAGAGAAAGAGAGAATCAGGTTTTTAAATAAACGTAATGTCAAGACTAGTGTAATAATTTTTGTAAAGCAGTCTTTCAATTGTAAAACCTATCTTCTCTCAGTCTCAGATGCTTACATGTTGCTCCTAGTGATGCTTTTGTTACTTTTACTGTACAGGATCCACAATAGATCTGTCCACAGTAATTACAAGTGTGCTGTTAATTTAAGAGAAATGTAATTACATTTCTTACATTTAATTACATTTCTTAATTAAATGTAATTAAATGTAAATGTGTTGTACCTTTCTCTTTAATAAACTGGCAAATGAAGCACCACAATTATTGCAATTGTTATCTATCAATAACAATAATAATAATATTAATTAATAATAATAGTAATTGTCATGAAATCCGTGGCAGGCAAAAAACCCATTAGTTCCATTGTCACAAAATTTGTGACAAGCAAAAAACCCATTGGTTCCATTGTTACAAAATCTGTGACAAGCAAAAAACCCATTAGTTCCATTGCCATGAAATCCATGACAAGTAAAAAACCCATTGGTTCGGTTCATAAAATCCAACCCCCCACATTATTATCTATATGTACTTTTTTCATGCTCTTTTCCGTGATGTCTTTCACTAGCTGTAGAAATAAAGATGTAGTTATAACATATACATATGCACAATAAGCCTTACTTTCATTAGATGATGTCATTTCTTCATTATTAGCATTATTATTAGCTGGGCTTTCATCATCATTATTGTTACTTTGAGTGTTTGATTGATCAGGAGCTGGACCAGCAGTTGATGGAAGAGTAGTTGATGAATTTGAAGGAGTTATTAAACGTGACTGTGATACCTAACAATAAATAAAAATATAAAAATAAATAATGAATAGTGATAATAATAATAGCATTACTGGTTTAGATCTGATCATTGAATTTTTAATTCTTCTTAAAACTGATCTTGTCTCTAATATTTTAGTAAAATATTACACTTTTCCTCCATCTTTCTATCCTTACCGTTAATGAAACTTTGATTAAAAAAGAAGAACAGTAAACATAGCAGTGAGAGCAACATGGCGGCTGATATCCAGATCAGTGAAATTGTGACAAGTAACAAGAAAAAACAAACACTAAAAAGCAAACAAAAACAATAAATTAATTTCATGTTCAGTAGAACTCACTTAGCCGATTCTCTAGGATTAGTCCACATAAAAATACTAATAGAAAGAAAGAAGGAGGAAGAAAGAGGTCAAAGTATGCAATCATGTGTACATGATTTTACCTCTTAACACTGTTGAGATAATTTCCTAAACTAATTAAAACATCATCAGCTTTTTTAACTCTATATAAAAAACAAACAAACAAAATGAACCAATTCTACCATCTCTCTCTCTCTCCTCCCTTCCCCTCTCTCTCTCTCCTCCTTTCCCCTCTCTCCTCTCTTCCTCTCTCTCTCTTTCTTTACATGTATCTATATTCCTTTAGTGATTTTTGTCGGCTTCTTTCCTCTTTTGATAGCTTGTCCTGTGGAGGTTATAATGAAACCACACTTCAGTACATCAATCATTACACTTGCTTTACCATTTCTTGTGCATCATGGCTGATCATCATTGGAGGAGTGACTTTTCTCTTTGAGCTATTCATACTATTTTTATTATTGTTCCCAAAAACTGATCCCAGTATAAACTGATTGCCAGCTAGTATTGTCATGAATAATAATATGCTAGCAGTCATTAGCAGTACTCCTAAATATAGTGTAAGTGAAATGCAAATGATATGCATGCTCCTTCTCTCCTCTCTCCCTCTCTTTTACTCTTTCTCTCTCTCTCCCTCTCTCTCTTCTATTCACAGTTATTAATACACGTTCATTCTATTCACAGATCCACCTACTAACACTTTAATGATGTGTGAACATTAACAATACAACCAAGTTATGAACCAACCACCACACACACCATCATAATATAGCTTTGCCTCTCCTCCCTTGGCCTTACTTGGGTAGAGAAGTAAGAATACAAGTGAAGTTGATACGCACAATGATACACTGTAGTTCTCCCACCTAAAGCAGACATGTTATGTTAATAGCTACACTGATTAATCTCTCCCTCTTTCTTTCTTACCTTCTTGTTTTATCAATGACTATCAATAATCTACCAAGGGGCCATAGCTGATCTCTCACTCTATAGTAATGGTTCATGAACGAGCCTAGATCTAAAACGTTGGTCTCTTCTCCTTCTCTCGCTCCAGGTTGACTACTGCTCTCGCTTGCCATTCTTTCCCTTAGCCCATTGCTTTCCATTGCCAGATAATAAACAGCAATCCTACTAGCCACACCTTGAAAAGTAACTGCAAACCGCCCACGCCTACTAATTAGTTGCTAATGTTATTCATAGTTTTTGTGCTACTGAGCATGCATGCTCAGTAGTCCTCACTCCGTATTCTTAATAAAATTCAAATTTACTGAGTTTTGTTTCAGTATACTCCAAATACTGTAGCCTATCAGATTATGATACGTATCTGGCGGGAAGTTTTGGAGGGAAGCTAAGAGAGAAAGAGAATGAAGAAAATTTTAAAGAGAATCGTAATTTTGCTGTTTCTTTTGACAGCATCTTCATCAATAGAGGAAGAAAAACAAGCCAAAAATGAAGAGAAAGAAGGTAAAAATGCCTAAATTAATTTTACCCTCTCTTTTCCAGATATTAGCGATGTTTTTGTGGCTACTACTGAGTGGCAGGAAATAAAGAAAGGACAGGCAGTACCAGCTGGTCTCCATTATCGTATCAATCTACAAACTGGACTCAAAGAAGCTAAGCTGATGGAAGAAGGACAAGACAAAGAGGAGGCAAATGGTAACGTACATGTATGTACACACCAGTTCTAATTAATGCCCACCCTCTAGTTCAAGTGGTTGATGTGAAAGGTTATGGTCATTCTGATCGACGTGGAGCTATCAATAAATCGACTAAAGTGTTTACGAGACAAGAATTGAGAGAAATGCTGAAGAAGATTAAAGATGAAAGTCCAGAGCAGTCCATACCTCCATTACTGACTGTATTAAATGAAGGTATCAAACTATAATTGTATTCTGCCATTTTTAATTAAAGCTGTTACAGAAAGTATAGTTATTTTTTTTGTTGTCTTGTATTGTGTAGGTAGTAAAAATAACTCCATTGAGAAATCAAAATCAAGCTCTACGCTGTCTGATCTGAGATCAATGTTAACATTTCACGCTGATGTTGAGATCATGTTGCAACGACTTGAGATATTAGTGAATCCTGAATCAACAGTTGATGATATGCTGAGATCTCTTGACGATTTGGAATACATAGTCCATCAGATTGACAATGCAAGAGATTTTGATGTCCTAGGTGGATTAGTAGTTATCGTACAATTATTAAATCATTCAAATAACGACATTATATGTGGAGCTGCTCTTGTACTAGGATCAGCTGCTCAGAGGTATGCACAATAATATTAAAATATTAATATTCACAATAAAAAATTAATTTTATTGCATCTAACTTATTTTCCTTTCCTCCTACATCTAGCATTTATTAATAAAAATAATAATTCAATTTTATTATCTTCATTCATAGCAATCCTGAAGTTCAGAAGCTCGCCCTCTCCTACAATGCCCTCCCTACCCTCCTCTCTCTCCTCTCCCCTTCCTCCTCCTCTTCACTAGTACATCGAAGAGCATTATATGCTTTAAGTGCTACTCTAAGAGGACAAGTGGAGATGATTAGTACTTTTTTAACAGAATATGACGGGATAAATATTCTGAGTCAACTAGCAGCTACCACCGATAGCGAAACTGTTCTTGTTAAAATTATAACTTTAATTACTGATTTATTAGCTAGCTTGGAGGAGAATGGGATTACAATAAGGTAGACAATGACTACATTAGCACATTAATTGTATATGTTGTTTATATTTAGTGATATACAGGATAGGCTATATATTAATGATTGGTGTGATCGAACTGTTGCTGTACTGACTGAATCAAAGAGCTCAACCTCATTAGAGAAATGTGTTCTTTTAATTAATAAACTATTAAATGTTTGTCACTACGGTAACCAGTACAATCTGTTACTGAAGATCAGCAAGGAATGGATCAGAGATGAGAGAGAGAAAGAATTAATTGAAATTATTAATAATATTTTATATAATGTTAAAACTAGTAGCAAGAAGGAATTGTAAGTATTTTATTTTACATAAATTTATAATTTATTTACTAGAAACTCTGAACATCCTATATTGCTTTGGTTTCATAGATGGAGGTAGCTCCATTTTGGAAGGTTGGGTTTTTACAGCTACTAAATGTTGGGCGAATACGGAGTAGGTTTCTTCATCTAATATAACGATACGAATATCTGTCAATAACTTGCTACTGGTATAACGGTACTTGGTTATTGCTTGAATTATAGCTTCAGCAGCTAATGATTTATCAACTGCAAATATTCCTGTACTTAATGCTGGGAATGATACCGATACTGCTTTCATTTTATCTGCTTCAACAAGGGAATTAGTAATAGCTTGACATATGAGCTGTGAGCATTGAAAGTCTGTCATTTGCCGCGAGAATGTAGGACCAACAGCATGTATCACACGTTTACACTTCAACTTTCCTCCAGCACTGGTAACTGCAACTCCTCCAACTAGGACTTGACCATAATTCCTAACATACGTATCAGATGCTTTCTGCAACTCTCCATTACTTGCTTTATTGAGAGCTCCTGCTACTCCTCCTGCATGCTCTAATCTGGAATTAGCAGCATTGACAATTGCATCAACCTCTTCTTCCACTAAATTGCTTCTTTTTACCGTAAGCCAACGACCTTCATTGATTAATAATACTTCAAATGAACCAGTTTTGGTTGATATTTTAACTCCAGTAGCCCCTGCAGCCTTGCCTCCTTGCTCTTCTTTCTTTTTTCCTGTTTTCTCTTCGAATTTCTCTCCTGCCAGCCGATCACCTAGTAGCTTCTTTGCCTGATCAAATTGACGTGATGACATTGATACTATCCTAACCATTCGAGCTTTTTCATCACATGAGAAGTGACACTGATTATAATTGCTATCAAACTCTTCTATTATATCAAACATGTTTTCCATTTGAAATGCAGGTGGTATTTCAAGACTGCCGGACTTCAACTGACGATTTTTAATGATTTCTTGATATGTATTTTGAAATTGCGTTACACATTGCTCCTTCTCTTCCTCCGAAGATGCTAAAACGACTACTTTTCTTTCCTCAGGGAAGAATTGCATATTCTTAGAGCAATCCTCACGAACTTTAGGCATAAGCAGAAGGACATCTTTGCTAAGACCAAAAAAGGTCCTACTATGATAAATATCTTTTGATTCTTCTTTGCTTTCTTCCATTCTTGGTTTGTGTTCATCTTGAGGAAGCTCCTTTAATTCGGTAGATCTAGACAATTTGTCCTTTTTTTCCTTCAATTCAGCTAATTGCTTATTAACAGCTTCTGACCTTTCTCTTTCTTTCTTTTCAAACTCTTTCTGCATTTGCATCATTTGTTGTTGATGCTCTTCATTTTTAATCTTCATTTGTTGATCAAATTCAGCTCTTAAGCTCTCCGATAGCAGTGCAATCTGTTGCTTTGATTCTTCCAGTAGCTGCTTCTTCTCTGCTTCAAACTGGTACTTCATTTTCTCTTGGTGTTGTTGCTCTTTTTTGTGACTTTCTTTCAGAGCCTCAAGTTGAGTGGTTAACTCTTTAACACGTGCTGATTCTGATTTATACAACTCTTGAAATTGATTTAGTGTAGCTTGTAATTCGTCTTTAAACTGTTCGGTTATTCTCTTAACCTGCCTCTCTGGTGGCAAATTAGTACAGATGGATTCATGATCGATCGCATTTTTACGAAGATATACCACAGGGCAACCAAAAGGACACTTTACTTTAACAAACCTACAGCTGCCATCCACTGGATTAGTGTGTTTCTTTAGATCTCTTAACTCTCCCACCCACTCACATCCATTGTAGTGGTGTGTACAACGAACCTTCAAGTCAAGTATCTCACTGTTGAGCTGTCTTTCTAAGAAACTATTGAAATTAGGCTCACGACAATAGGGGCAAGGTTGACTTGAAATATGCACACGTTGTATACAGTCACGACACATCTTCCTAGAGCAGCACATGACAATATGAGGCTCTCTCATCACACAATGACATATTAGACAATTGAATCTATCAGGAGGTTGTTCTATGAATGTTGGTTCTTCTTCCTTTTCTGCATCTTGGAAGCTTATTGAATGAAATTCAGACTGCACTGCTGAACACTCCCCTCCTTTAGCAGCCATTAAACATAACAGGAAGCATCTCACGTGCATCATATGATGATTACAATAACTTTATTCATAATATAGACAATGGTATAATCTTGACACTAATAATAATAACATAATGTCACATGATAGTCACATGCCATACTTATATAAACAAAGTGAATAAACTACAACAATAAAGAAACATTATTAATGAATTAAATGAAATTACGATTTACTGGAAACTATGAATAATTATTATAATCAATAACTACTAATTAACTAGTACCTCTAAGTGTTACTAAGTTACTTATTGTATTCCTTTAGCTTTAAGTTCTTCTTTTACTCTTGACAAATAAGTAGGATCAGGATAACCATACCTATACAATTAATAATTATTACGACTCATTTATTATTGTGACTTACGGATGTCCATGTGTTACAGTTTTATGGTGTATATCATTCCATACTACAGTATTACTAGCACTAGTGGTATGTGATGTACCAACTGTAAATATCAATCGGGCATCAAATGCCTTTTTTAGTAATCGTAACACTTCCTGTCCTTCAGGAGTGTTTGGAAGATAAGCTGAACGTCTTGTACCATGATATGGCTGACCTATATAATGTATAACCAATGATTAAGGTTACAGCAAGTGTTACCTAAAATCATGCACTCTTGTTGTTACCTGGATGAGGATGTTCCTTAGTTTGTATACCATGAGGTATTTCATAAGAGATAAGAATAGCACCAGCTCCTTCATAACCAGGTAAGGAGGTAGACTGAAGGACACAATGTGTCATTGTACCACCAGCTGGTTGATTCCCTTTGACTTTCCTCAATGGTTCCTTGCATGTTGGACAGTATGGAGAATGCTTTAGAGACTCTTTTAAGCAAGATTTACAAAAGATCTGATTACAACATTTAGTAGGAGTAGGATCTGTTGCTATATCATTACGGCATATAGGACAACCTTCAATGAAAAATATAATAAAATCATTGTGATATTGATGATTAATTTTACTTACCAACATCACCTACAGTAATCTTTTCTTTATCAGCTAGAGGAGGTGAGCCAGTAGGTGTTGAAAAAGTCTCTTCTTGTGAAGAAGATCTCATTACTCCTTTACTAGTAAAATCTAAAACAACCTGAGGTTGTAGTAAATCAGCTGATGATGATTGCTGCTGACCATTTCCCCCCCCTCCACTTTGATTTGTTGCTTGAAATGGCCCATCACCTGGAAGTTGAGGATATGTAATATTCTGTGTTCCAGTTGGTTGAGATGTTACTACTGCAGGATCTAAACCAGGTGGAGCAGATAATGAATTACTAGGTGAAAATGATCCAGCATTGATACCATAAGATGAGTTGCTCACTGGTGTTCCTACACCAGTCCCTGTTCCAGAAGCACCATCATGTCCAGTCATCCATTTATCTCCTTTTCCAGTAGAGTTTCCCAGTTCAGTCAATGCAGTACTCCCTGCACCTCCCTGTCCACTCCATGCAGTATTCCCTGCACCTCCCTGTCCACTCCATGCAGTATTCCCTGCACCTCCCTGCCCAGTCCATGGAGTATTCCCTGTTCCAGTAGCACCACTCCCAGTCTCACTCCATGCTTTACTTTTCCCTCCAGAAGCAGCAGCATGAAGGGAATTCTCACTCAATGCAGTAGGTCCAGGAGTATGACTGCCATGAGATGAAGAGCCATTGCTCTGTGAGACATTACCATGAGTATCAGCACCAGGTGATTGGAAAGATGTCTCGGTATGAGTTGGATTGGATTTAATAGCTAGTAAATGTTGGGCGAATACGGAGTAGGTATCTTCATCTAATATAACGATACGAATATCTGTCAATACCTTGCTACTGGTGTAATGGAATTTCAATATTGCTTGAAATATAGCATCAGCAGCTAATGACTTCTTCACTGCATATATTCCTGTACTTAATGCTGGGAATGATATTGATGCTGCTTTCATTTTTTCTGCTTCAAGGAGAGAATTAGTAATAGCTTGATATATGAACTGAGAACATGCTAAATCAGATTTCACTTCGTGTGCTATAGGGCCAACAGCATGTATCACACGTTTGCATTTTAACTTCCCTCCAGCACTGGTAACTGCAGCTTCTCCAACTTGTAGCTGACCATAATTCCTAATGTAGGCATTAGATACTCTTTGCAATTCTCCATTACTTGCTTTACTAAGAGCTCCTGCTACTCCTGCTCCATGATCTAATCTTGAATTAGCAGCATTGACAATTGCATCAACATCTTCTTCTACTATATTGCCTCGTTTTACTGTAAGCTTATGGCCTTTATTGATTGATAATGTTTCAGACGAACCAGGTTTGGTTGGTATTTTAGCTCCTTTTCCAGGTTTGCCTCCTCCTCCTTTCTCTTCTTTCTTCTTTCCTGTCTTTTCTTCCCATTTATCTCCTTTCTCTCCTGCCAGTCGATCACCTAGTAGCTTCTTTGCCTGATCAAATTGACGTGATGACATTGATACTATCCTAACCACTCGAGCTTTCTCATCACACGAGAAGTGACATTGACTATATTTGCTATCAAAATCTTCCAATAAACCAAACATATTTTCAATTTGAAAGGCAGGTGGTATTTCAAGACTGCCGGACTTCAACTGACGATTTTTAATGATTTCTTGATACGAATTTTGAAACTGCGTTATACATTGCTCCCTCTCTTCCTCTGAAGATGCTAAAACGATAACTTTTCCTTCCTCGGGGAAGAATTGCATATTTTTAGAGCAATCTTTACGAACTTTAGGCATAAGCAGAAGGACATCTTTACTAAGACCAGTAAAGGTCTTACCATCACCAGCACTACTGCCCCCAGTGGCTGCTGCTCCTTCATTGCTGCCTCCCTCAGGAGGAACCTGCTCTGGTACAGGGTTGACTGTATTGTGTGTATGAATTGCTTGTGGATTGTGTTGTGCATGATGTGATGGTGGTAATGCAAGGATATTCTCTGTTAGAAGATTTGCTAGATATTGCCTAAACTTGTACACTTGACTGCAACTGCCACAAACTTTCACGTTATTTCCTTTAAACTCAAGTTGAACTGATAGTTTCTCTCCTTGTGATACCAAATACTGCATAATAGGCTCAGTACCATGAATTAATGTGAAGCTGGCAGTGGCCTTTTCTTGGAACTACAATGAAAACAATAGTGGTTACCATGATTCACATTGAACTAACAACTAACCATTGGGATCATGTTAGATGATGAGAGAATACCATCTTGTAGCTGAAGATTTCTAGGAATAGCTGCATGAAATAAAAACAGTGGAATAATCATGTGATAAAAAATTAATTATTTTTAATCAGTTTGCTCAAGAGTAGATATTGGTTTGCTTAATATTGCATAGAAAACTAAACTGTGAATTGGATTTACCTTCAACATTACTAGCAGTAACAGCGAGCACTGCGTGTTTAGTTGCAGGAGAGGATGCGTTTCCACCTGATTGTGTAGGAACAACATGGACATCATTGATAGACAGAGGAGAAAGTGGAAGAGAAACTGGTTGTGCTTCAAGGCATTTAGCAACGTCATTGGATTCGCAATACAAAGGAATTTTATTAACCAATACACATACATTAACAGTGGTGCTTGCAGTAGGCAATTTAGAAGGAAGAGAAGAATAACTGTTTTCATCTAGGTTTTCAGCCATTTTTGCTCTCTATCTTTCTTTACTAACGACAGGGGAATTCCCCAATTAAAACGTCAGCATGACGTCATTTAGACTATTATTTTAATATTCTATTTAACGCGCAAGCGGGAACACTGACTGAAGCCTAAAGTAGCAGCAGAAGTACATGATTATACAGGAGCTTGGCCTCAAGAATACATCATAAAAGGAAGAGAGAGTGGCCAAAATAAATCAGAACAATATATAAAGCAGCAGCTGGGCTGTCAGCTGAAGAGAGAGTATGTATATAAAGCAGGTAAGTGAGTTATTATAGAGTTAATATGGTTTATTTTAAATATATAATCTTTTTAGGTTATTATCCAAGGATTTAGAAGCTTTAAAGATCAAACAGAAGTAGAACCATTCAGTCCAAAGCATAATGTAATTGGTAAGGAGCAAGTAATAATTAAGGAATATATAATAATAATAATCACTATGTATGTCATCTATTTCCCCATCTCTCTCTCTCCCTCTCTCTTTCTAGTTGGTAGAAATGGATCAGGGAAAAGTAACTTCTTTTTCGGTTAGTATAGATGTCGTATATTTGTTTTAAAATTTTAATTTTACAGCGATACAGTTTGTATTAAGTGACGATTTCACTCATTTAAAACCTGACGACAGACAGCAGCTGCTACATGTAAGACACAGAGAGAGTTTGAATCATTATCTGCTAATAATAGGAAGGTACTGGTCCACGCACAGTCACAGCTTACGTTGAAATTATATTTGATAACAGCGACCACCGAATACAAGTTAGTTATTCCAATTAATGCTCGTTTTATTCTAAATAATGCCCGGCAGATTGAGAGCGAAGAAGTGACACTGCGTCGTGTGATTGGAATGAAAAAGGACAATTATTATTTGGATGGGAAGCACGTCACGTGAGTTATGGAGTGTAAAGGGAGGTCTTTTTATTGTATTTCTCTCTTTGTGTAGTAAAAATGATGTCATGTGCCTATTGGAAGGAGCTGGTTTTTCACGCAGTAATCCGTATTATATTGTTAAACAAGGAAAAGTAATTATATTTATTTATTTAATTTTTAAATAAATAATCACAAACAAAAGTTGACACTTTTTATTAGTCTGCTATTGTTTATTGTATCATTGTTTTTATTGGTTTTAATATTTTGTACGTTTGCGTGTATTATTTTCATTTATTTTTTAGATTACTCAGTTAGCGACTGCACCTGATTCACACAGGTTGAAGTTATTGAGAGAAGTTGCTGGTACTAGAGTTTATGATGAGAAAAAAGAAGAGAGTCTAAACATTCTAAAAGAAACAGGTATGTTGTATATCTACATGTATCATGATAGCTATGCATGTCTAATTCTTGTAGAAGGAAAGAAGGCGCGAGTTGCTGAGTTATTGTCCAACATTGAGGAGAGGCTTCACGCTTTGGAGGAGGAGAAGGAAGAGCTTAAGGCTTATCATGAGTTGGATAGAACCAGACGATCAGTTCAATACATTATTCATGACACTGAACTACAGAATATCAAAGACAAACTAGAACAAGTATGTACATATTATAAATATTATACATGTATTGATTATATTCTTTCTCCCTCTCTCTCTCTCTCTCTCCCTCTCTCTCTCTCTCTCTCCCTCTCTCTCTCTCTCTATTTGTAGTTGGAAGGGGCAAGGCAGGACAATAGTGATGAGTCTAAGAAATTGCAAGAAAAAATCAAAGAAGCTGAAACTAAAATTGAAGTATAAAAAAACACACACAAGTAGAGTCGATCATTATAATCATGATTCCATCCACCAGAATCTTGAGAGAGCTATGAGAGATAAGAACAGTACACTGACCACTCTTAACAAAGAGAAGCTCCAGCTTCACGATGAGAATGAGGAACTGATTGCACGTAAGGCTCAACTGGAGTTCTCTCTCTCCGACTTACAGCAGATAGCAACTGATGAGAAGAATAACAGAGTAAGAGAATATACTAATAATGCACTGATAGTATAACAGCAATATGATAAATATACTGATAGTATAACAACAATATACTAATGATATACTAATGATTTAGGATAAGTACGTCAGGGAGTTGGAACGGCTTGAGTCTGATATCAAATCAAAGGAGTCAGAGCTGAACTCAATACTCCCTCAGTACCAGCACCACAAAGGACAGGAGGAGAGACTCAATGCCAGACTGAAAGCGTGTGAGCAGCACAGGTCTGAACTGTTTGCTAAAGAAGGACGGGTCCAAGAGTTTTCAACGACCGAGGAGAGAGATCGGTTCATTAATAAAGAGATAACGTCACTCCAGCAGTCGGCAGCTAACAAGGAAAAACAAGTACTTGTTACTTGTATACTTTTAATTATTAGAAATTGTCTCTCTCTCTCTCTCTTTTCTTTAGATTCAAGAGATCAAACAGGGAGTGTCTCAATTAAAGACTAAAGTTGAACAACAGACAAGAGATATACAAGTAATTGACTAACCATACACACACACACACACACACACACACACTCACAGCTAGTTCATGTACATGTACACTATGAACTTGCTGTTGCTATTATTATAAGATGGATTTGTATGAATAGGAGAAGACTAGCAGTCTTGAAGAGACCAAAGAATCATTAGACAGAGTGAACAGAGACTGCTCTCGATTGAAAGTGCAGAGAGAAGATATTTCTAACCAGAGACAGTTAGTTATTGACAATATCTATACTTTTATGCTTCTTTTTCCTCTCTCTCTCTCTAGGGAGTTATGGAGGAAACAGAATGTCATCAGCACATCATTGATGAATACAAGAGAAGAATTAGTTAAACACGAGAGACATCAAAGAGTTCTAATGGGAAAAGTACATCAGCTCATTAGCACTGCACTACATTATAAAATGTGCTTTAATGTAGGCTGTGGGTCAAGGTCTTGATGCAATCAAACGCATCACAGAAGAGCATCACTTAAGTGGAGTCTATGGGCCACTCATTGACCACTTTACCTGCCACAGTAGAATATTCACTGCTGTTGAAGTGACTGCTGGAAACAGGTAATAGAGAAAGTAATTATAGACATATTATATTGTATTGTACATGTATATGTACATATGCAGTTACATTTTCATTCTTTTGCATATTTTGTATGACCAGAGACACATGTGTATCATTTTTTACCAAATCAGTTTTGTAAACTAAACAGCCGAAATGTCACAGTTTTTGGTACATTTTCTGCTATAGTTTGTATTCTTATTAGAAACATTATTGTTATTATTATTATTATTATTATTATTATTTGTTATTCTCAACAGGCTGTACAATGTTATAGTGGACACTGATCAGACTGTCACTAAGATACTGACACTAATGAACCAAAAAAGACTTGACGGTGACGTCACTTTCCTACCACTCAATACACTGAGAGTACCCACTGGGCACTACCCAGACACAAAAGTACATACACTTATTTATTTGTTTGTTTATTTATTTGTTTGTTTATTGTAATAGGAAGCACTTCCTCTACATGACCAGTTAGAGTTTGATCCAATGTTCAGGCCAGCCATTGAGGTAGTCTTTGGCAAGACTCTTCTTTGTCGGGACTTTGATAAAGCGTCCGAATTCGCTAAAAAAGCTAGAATGGACTGCGTTACACTTGACGGTAATTGCTCGTTATTTACCACGCCTCTTTAATTAAGCCACACCCACAGGGGATCAGGTTGATCGTAGAGGGCTATTGACTGGTGGGTATCATGATCCAAAATCCTCTAAACTTGAGGTGCATGCTAAAATACACGAGTGTAGGAGCAAGATTGAGCAGGAAGAGAAGGAGAATGAGAAGTTCAAGCGAGAGCTAGACAATATCCTCTTTATAATGATGTGTATATACATGTAATACAATATAAAAATGAATATAAATTTCTGAAAAATACCCAAGGCTATAGCCCATGGATTTTTCCAAAAAATGGCTCCGAAATCACCACCAATTTTTATTACGTTTTCTGATACATATTGATGTACTTATGCCGTGTAGCAAGTTTGAGCTGATTCTGACTTCAATTTTTCAAGTTACGGCCATTTTAAGAAAACGTCAAAATTCTTAAAAAAGCAAAGGCTATAGATAGCATACAGTGTATATTTCCTTAATTGTGTTTTGGTTGTTACGTATTGATGGTAGGAGTAATCAGGTATTGAGTCAGATCCAACGCTGTGAGACTAAACACGTACAACTCAAGTAAGTATATCCTTAGCAGCTCTTAGTACTCAATATGATGGTGTTGCTATTATTCCATTGCATTGTGTATAGGGAAGCATTTGAACGTTTGAAATTAGAATTACGTATTTTAACTCGTGAACATCAGGCAGATCAAAGCCGTCTGGAACCAAAAGTATTAAATTTTAAAGTTATATTTAAAAAATATAATATTTATTTTTGTTGCAGGAGAGTCATTTATTGACTCAAGAGAGTGATTTGGAGTCAATAAGAGGCTCTATAACTGCATTACAAGCTGAACTGGGAACTGAACTATTATCACAACTAGACCCCAATGACAAGAAACAAGTGAATGACTGAGAGATAGAGAGAACACTGTAACATGTACATGTATACATGTTTTAATTATTATGCATGTACATGAGCAATCACATGGACACATGTTTTATCAATATCATTGTACATGTACATGTGTAGGTTGAGAATTTAGGTGAGGAAATACAGTCATTGCAGCAAGAACTGAAGAAGTCTATGGCACAGAGAGTACAGGTATATTTCATTATGTTTATAATCATTATTATTTATTATTTGAAATTATTATCATTAGCTTGAGAGTCAGAAGAATACAATTGAGATATTGTTAAGTAATAATTTGATAAGAAGAAAAGAACAATTAAAAATGGTAAAGATCAAAAGCTCCACTATAACTCTTACTTCCCCTTTCTCTCTCTTCCCCTCTCTCTCTTCCCCTCTCTCTCTCTAAGGAATTGGATGACATTGCATTGACAGACAATGATCAACAAGTGAGTTTATTGTCAAGCGACCTCCAACAGCTAACAGTAAAGATTGATCACACCAAAGCAAGGATGGATGGTAAGAGATGGAACGATAGAGAAAAGGAAACCATAGTATCCCTCTTCTCTCTCAGAGGTTAATTCTGATGTGCAGATGTACACAGATCAAATCAAACAGTTAGACAAAGAAATGGAGACATGGAAGGTATGATTGTGGATCATTTTACTGTAGATTAATGTTAATTGGTGCTTGCATTACAGACTATAGAACGTGAAAATCAAGATCAAATGGCCGAGGATTTAAAGTCAATGGAAAAAGTAGCAAACAAAAGAGCTTTATTGTTTAAAAAGGTATACATAACAGGCTACAACAATTTAATGTGATCTCTTTTTATTTTAGAAAGAGGAAGCTTTGGGTAAGCTACGTGGACTAGGTTCTCTTCCTTCTGATTTTGCTAAATATCAGCACTATACAACATCACAGGTATAATGAGATTAATAGAAGTAAAAATGGAGTATAGAAAACTCTTCTATCTTCATCTTTTTCTTGTATGTACACGTAGTTATGGAAGAAGTTAGAAAAGTGCAATAATGATCTAAAGAAATACAGTCACGTCAATAAAAGAGCCTTAGATCAGTTTAAGGATTTCTCTGAGCACAAGGAGAAACTAACTGATCGAAAGATCGAGTTGGACAAAGCTTATGAAAGCATACAGGAACTGTTTGATGTTCTTGAGTTGAAGAAACATGAAGCAATTGAGTTCACATTTAAACAAGTAATGGAGACTTTTATGTATTTTTTATTTATTTATTTGATTTTTAGATGTCAAAGTATTTTACTGAAGTATTTCATGAGCTAGTTCCGCAAGGTCACGGGCAACTGGTGATGAAAAAATTAAATGAAGACGTAATTATTATATTTATTTATTTATTATTATTAATAATTGTTTTTTTAGGTATCAATGGAAAGTGATTCACAATCAGAAACTGCTTCCATATCAGACCAGTACACTGGAGTATCCATTAGAGTAATGATAATACCTACTGTACATCCATTTTATCATATCTCTCTCTCTCCCAAGGTTTCATTCACTGATCAGTTGTCAGAGATGAAAGAGTTACAGCAGTTATCCGGTGGCCAGAAGTCCCTAGTAGCCCTCGCCCTCATATTTGCAATCCAGAAATGTGACCCAGCCCCTTTCTATCTATTTGATGAAATAGATCAAGCACTGGATACTCAACACAGACACTCTGTAGCAGGTAATAAATAAATAGAAATATTTAAATAATAATAATTTATTCATTAGCGATGATTCGTAAGCTATCAGAGAATGCCCAATTCATTACGACGACGTTTCGTCCAGAGCTGGTAGAACCAGCTGCAAAATGTTACGGAGTACAATTCAAAAACAGAGTTAGTTTTATACGGGTCATCAGTAAAGAAGAGGCCCAGGACTTTATCGAAACATAAGATATTTATATTGAAATGGAGACTCTACCTTAGTACGTATAACTAGATTTATATATTTACACACACAGTATACATGATACACTCTCGGCCAATTATTTCATCATTATATTAACGTTATTTCATCATTATATTAGCGTTATATTATTATACTTACGCTTTATTGTTGTGATTGTCTAGTTGGTTTCTCAATATACATCTCATTTCATCAGATGAAGGCCACTTTATAAAATGCTATAGAAATTGAGAATAATTCTCTCCTAGGCTCCTAGCCATTTTCGATGAAATAGTACATTATTCCTTCTTTAACTATCATTCCATTATTAAGAGGATTAAAAAATTCAGAAATAGAATCACAGAACACAATATCATATTAAATAATAATGACTAGATGATGAATGCTATTAAAAATTGTACTTAATGATTAAATGATTATAAATTTTGTTCTACTGGCAGCCATTGCACTAATCATCAACTGCTTCTCCTCATCAATAATCTCTACATTATCAACTTTCTCTCTTGTCAGCGATGAGCTGCTAGTCTTGATTCCCCTCAGAATACTCCTCGCTAATCTTCCTCTACCTCCTGCTACTACTTCCTCTTTCTCCTCTTCAACATTGTCAACATAGAAACGGCTGTCACTTTGCTTCTCCTCCAGCTCTTCCTCCTCTTCATAACGTGCTTCCTGTTGCTGCGATTGTTTGAATAGCTTTGCTTTCCAACGTGAAAACCTCTTCCCTGTTCCTCCAGTATTAGCAGCTGTGCTGGGAGCAGTGTTTCCCTCCAAAGGCTCAAAATCAGTGACACAGACTGGAGCACTGAGAGTGATGGCTTCTACTGGAGAAAGAGAAGGAGGCAGTGTTTTCTCTGGTAGACTTCCAGTTGTTGCATTGTAAGAAAATGCTGTAGAAAATGACGGACTAAAAGTAGGAGAGAAGCTTGAAGGAGAAGTGGTACTTGTAGGAATAGGAGAAATGGTAGGAGAGATGGTTGTGGTGGGACCAGGTGGTTTAGTATTATTAGGTGGTGAGGAGGGACTTCTTGGTGATGGTACTCTCTCACGGAATTGGAAATCATCAATTTGAATCAACTGATCAGGACTTGATTCGTTCTGATCAATGCTTGACGAGGCACTGGCTAATATAACGTAGCCAATGGACTCTCTTCTCTTGTGTCTCCTCCTCTCTCCCTTTCCACTGTCATCTTGAATGACTCTTGACGGTAAATCTTCAGCACTTCCATGAGAGAATAGCCTTGACCTTTCTTGCAATGTTGTTATTTTACTTTCCCTTGATTTAGAGGGAGAAGCAGGAGCAGAAAACGATTCATCATTATCATCATCGGTGATAGAACTCTGTGATGATACTCTCTCTCCCTCTCCTCCTTTCTCCTCTTCATTAGGTGAAGGGATACTTAATCGAACAGAGGCACTGCTGGATGAGGAGACATTATCATAAAATATAGAGCCTCCTTTATCAGGAGCTGTCTCTCTGGTCTCTTTGACTGGTATAAGGACATTCTCCCAACCATCAGCTGCCCATTCTGATGGAGATATGAGGTAGACTATACCTTCATGGAACTTACTGGCCTTCCTAATAATAATAGTGATAATAAATAAAATAATAATAATTATTATAATAATTTACTTTGTCAGTCTCTGTTCTTGTAGCGTGATGGTTGGTTGAACTTCTACTAATTCTTGACTTAAGCTCAATAAAGTTACTATTAATATTTAATAACTATAACATTAATTAATAACTATTAATATAACATACGTTTGTCTTCCTCAAGTGATATAGAGTGGATTGGTCTGAAAGTGAAGTAGCAGGAGCAGCCCGGGAATAAAGTATAGAATAATCTCATGTAGACCCTTCGTGATGTCTTCAATATACTACCAATAGGACCTATAATACCATTGAAATAATTATTATACACAGCATAAGGTCAATGAGAAATGCAAGGGTTATTTTGAATTAATTCACAAAGAATCATGGACTGTAGAGTGCATGCTTTTTTTAATCAATTTCTTCAGTACCAATGACTCAAGAAATAGTCTTAAATTGGCTCAAAATTTATAGCACAATGGCATGAGTTACTTAGCTACAGAGATAGCTAATAATATTTACCAATACTTATCCTTTCTATTCTGTCCAGTGGTATCCTAATGCAGCAGGCTACTTGTTCAAATTCATTATTATAACTAAATAAAGAATAAAGAAAGAGAGTCAGAGCTGAAGTCAAAATGAAAGAACTTACTTTGCGACACAAATATGTCGTCTCTCCTTGCAGAGCAACAGCACAGCATCTTCCTCACCTTCTGAAGTTGGAACAAAACTAAAAAAGAAAAAAAAGATTAACATAGATATACATGATGCTGTATTCACTGACAACTGAACTGTGTCATAAACTGCAGACTAACTCCATAGCCTGCCTCTATAAACACTCACAAGTTATGCTTACCTATATCCAGCTGGTTCAATTAGTGCCCAACCTTTTACTGGTACCGACGTATTAGGAAATAAATTATCTCGACATGTTTTAATCATATCTGCAATCAACTAAAAAAAAACAAAAAACAACGAATAAATAAATAAATAAATTAATGAAAATAAATAAATAAAACAAGGAGTTACTTGTTCTCTCTCGGAGGACCAAGGTGGCAGGTCAGAGTATGATCTTTGTCTCAGGCCTTGTTCATCTTCACTTATTCCTTTCTGAGACTGTGACAGTGTAGTCAATGCATCCTGAACTGGGGCACCCTGTTGGAGATCTGGAGAGAAAGAGAGAGAGAGAGAGAGATAAATGCTAATCTTTATTCTTTAACTAACCAATGACAACTTGTCTGTAAGCATCTCTGAACAAACTTTGCAAATACCTAAGTGTATAGACATGAAAATGAAAATGCATGTACATTGTACATGATATATGCACGTTACCTGTGAGCTGAATTATAACCATCTTTCATTACACCATACAAACGTCTCTGGCCATATCTTGTTAAATCACCCTATTAATAATATACAGTACTATTGATTTTTTAAAATGCTCATAACTCAAAAAATTGAAGTCGCAATCAGCTCAAACTTGCTACACAGCATAAGGACATCAATATGTATCAGAAAATGTAATAAAAATTGGGGATGATTTCGGAGCCAATTTTTGGAAAAAACCATGGGCTATAACCTTGGGTAATTTTCAAAAATTTGACATTTTCTTAAAATGGCCGTAACTTAAAAAATTCAAGTCAGAATTAGCTCAAACTTGCTACACAGCATAAGGACATCAATATGTATCAGAAAATGTAATAAAAATTTGGGGTGATTTCAGAGCCATTTTTTGGAAAAAACCATGGGCTATAGCCTTGGGTAATATTCAAAAATTTGACATTTTCTTAAAATGGCCATAACTTTTAAAATTGAAGTCGGAATCAGCTCAAACTTGCTACACAGCATAAGGACATCAATATGCATAAATTACTTTCATGGCATCAGTTCCTGTGTACTGCCTGCTGATGGTGTCCCCATTATTGGCCCATAGTTCCTGATAGTGTCTTAGAAATTGACCAGTGAGAGAAGTAAAAGGATCAATGAGACCTAGCTTCTGTAACTAAAGAGAGAACAAAAAACAAATAATAATATTATCATTATTTTAAAATTATTTATTATTATTGGCATGTAATAAATGTAACAGCAAATATAAAGTAATATTACATCAACAATAACAAATAAAATATTATTATTATCATCATCATCTTACTGCAGTTTGTATGAATTCTTTACATATTACTGATTGCACCACGTTAGTTCTGTCAAGACAGTCCATGCAGTTTACTCTAAAGACTCCATTTTGATAGCATAAAGGCTGTCCTGAGCTGCCTTCATCATTATCAATCCTGAAAGAGAGAGAGGAGGAGGAGAGTAAAAAGAGAGAGAGGATTAAAAGATGTGTTCCATCCCTTACCAAAAGTATTTTTGTCTTGTAATGTATTGTTCAATATTACTTAAGAGTAGGTTAATGTTATGCCATTGGTTAACCTTACTAAAGAGAGAGAGAGAGAGAGGGTACATTACAACATAAGCAGCTGCTATTTATTATACTGACCAGTGATGATGGAAATCAAAAGCAACATAAGTCAGTGACGGACAGTCCAATGTTAGCAGCTGCTTCTCAAACGCTGTTGACACAATCTAACAAAGTTTAACAAAACAAAATGAAAGGTGATAAACAACAACGCATACATGTACATACACTGCATTACATTATACATGTACAATGTGTAGTACACAGAGAGTTAATATTATGTACACATTCATTATGGAAGTAGTAAACACGTATTCTTTTTCTTACTCTTTCTCTTCCTGATTGGTTGATTAGATTAACAATAACCTGTTCCCTGTACAGGTTCATCTGGCTTTCAAAATGACGCTCAAATGCAACAGCTGTCTCTTCATCAGCTGCAATAAATAAATCATTATAAATCATTATAGGATTAGCATGTGTACACTTACTTTGCTCTATAATTGGCAGTGGCCTGTATCTATTGCCAGGCTGTGTCCAATACACTGGAACGGATCCTCTTACTACAATAAATGATAATAAATGAGTCGCGGCTAGCAGCAGCTGCAGAGAGAGAGAAAGAGAGGAAAAAGAAGAGGAATTTATTCATTAATATAATATTTTCTTTTTTGGCTAACCATTTCTGTTTCCACAAAATTTGCAACATGTCCTTCATTATCGACCCCTCGTCTTAGATACCTGGTTCCTATAGCAACGATATGACTACACCCACAGACTCACATACACATTACCTGCTCTGTGGCGACTCCGTCTTGATATCAGAGCCATGGTAACGGTTGGTACATCACTTGAGATATTAGGAACCATAACAAATGCTTGAGATGATTCTGAATCTGATTTGGGATCAATTTGAGATGATTTAAGATCAGATTGAGATGATTTGGAATCAGTATGAAATGATATGAGATCAGATTGAGTATCAGTTATTGATTGATCAAGTTGATGCTGATTTGATTGAGTTAAAGTATCATTTAGTTCATTTGGCAAAGAAGCAGCTAATGGCGTTGAACTATAGATATCATGTTCATCTTTTCGGTCATTTCTCTTTATCTCCTCTCCACCTCTTTCCTCCACGTCCACTGATGCTGTAGCCATGCCTTCTTTGGGCGGAGTCCCCAATAAAAATGTGGTCACATGAGTGTCGTGTGACTGCTGCTTTTTAAGGAATATTCCGAGCTGGTCTGGAGAAGGTATGGGTATGGTCTTGATCTCAATATAACCTTGAACAACGGGTAATACCCACTTGTCAATCTAGATGCATAAACAAATATTTATTATTATTATTATTGTTAATTTACTGTTTTATCATTATCAAGTAAATCCTGCAACATATTCTTGTTCCAAAAGAATCTTTCATCAACCTAAATGTACATGTTTATCAATAAAAATAATCTAAAAATACAAACATGGTCTTATCTAACTTACCCTTTCCCATTTCCTCAGTTTATTGGCGTCTCCACAGTCGTGCTTGCGCTGAACCGATTGCGTCAGATCTGTTTCGTAACTGAAATAGAATGACCTGGATCCATTAAACATCTGAAGCAAAGCCTACAAAGAGGTCAAGTGGAAGGAGGCCATAAATGTTAATAATGTTTACTAAAGAATATTAAAAAAACAAAGGGACCACAAATAAACATGGCTCAAATACAAATTACTACAACCTCTTTACATTTAATTGTAGATAAGGAGAAGAGAAACCATCAGTAGTATACATCATGTACTTATAGTACTCACTAATAGTAGCAGCTGTGCATTAGCTCATTTACCTCCTTAAGCTTCTTCTCTAACTTCCCGATATCTTTAACATCTTTCTCTCTACGATCCTGAGCATACGTCTATGAAAATAAGAGAGAGAACTCTTACACCATCTTCCCTCTCTCTCCCTCTTACACCATCTTTCCCCCTCTCTCCCTCTTTACCTCCATTTTAATTTCGTCTATTGATTTCTCAGCCGATAAAGAAATCAGTGCAACTCTCTCGATACAAAACACATCAGAGTCTGTGTTTGGTAGGCGACCTATGGACTTTGCTTCAGTTATTATTAACAAATACCAACCAGTGTCTGAAAGAGGAAGTGTGTAGCTACAGTACATGTAAGGACAGTGATTACTTGAAAGTAACTGGAGTTTTCCTATTAATCCAAAAGAGTGGCAGAGTTTAGTTGGCACAGAATTTGCTTGTACATCAATACCTAAACGAAAATATAAACAAAAATAATTAAAATAATAATAATGAAACAGTTTTAAGAGTTTAAACCACAACAAAGATATCTCTATCTAGACATTACTTGATCCAACGAGTAGAGACCCGTCTTCCCTCGAGTACCAAAGTGTGTCTACAGTGCTCTCTCCTCTTTTCATAATCATAACGTGTGACTTTGTTATCCACACTTCTAAATTAGGATCAGCACTCTCTCCTCTTCCTCCAGGAAGGAGGCCCTGTTGGTCTATGGACCCCATATCATCCAGCTCTATGGATAACAGGTTGCTCGCGTCCACTCGTGAAGACTTGTGGGAAAGATGGAGAGAAGGAGAAGTAGCCATAATTTTATTTCTAATTCTTTCCTTCCCCTGCCCCAGGCTCCTCCTCTCTCTTTCCTCCTACCAAGAGTAGATAATAATTAGATAATTATTATCTACTCTTGCTCCTACACAATGATAAGAAACACAATGATAAGTGTGATCCCAATCCCATTCATAGCCCATTCAACTTGATTTAAGTTTTTTTCACGCCCCCTTTCTGTTTCTGACTTGCTGTCTTTGTTGTTGGTATTCTCCGAGGTATTCTCTTCAACCCTCGCTTCAATCTCTTGTTAAAAATGGGCCAAACCCTGTCTAAGGTATTAACATCCAATCGAGGGTCTAATCATGCGCCAGATGTGGACAGTATGTCTAGGCCTAGTGTCGCTGATACAGTTAGATCGAGCTCTTGTACGATCTTTGCTAGAAATTTCATGTTCGGTGACTCCAGAACTTTTGTAATAGAAGCTAAACCAACTGATACTATTGACAGTTTAAAAGAAAAGGTCTTGGATAAAGTAGGAACACAGCAAATCAGTTTGATGAAACAAGAAATTGTGCTGTTTTATGGTTTACACCCGTTGGTTTGCTACAATGATGTTTTTTTAAACAAGAGTTACAAGACACTCTTAGATTATAATATTCAAAATGAAGATACAATTCGTGTAGTGAAATGTGACAAATGTCTCTTGATTCATATAAAAACTCTGACCGGTAAAGCGATTACTCTTGGAGTTGAACCTTCTGATACTATTGAGAATGTTAAAGCGAAGATACAGGATAAAGAAGGAATCCCACCTGATCAACAGAGGCTTTTATTTGCTGGTAAAGTATTGGAAGATAGTCGTACACTCTCAGATTATAAAATTTCAATGGAAAATATAATGCATTTAGTACTCCGTCTTCGAGGTGGTGGCATGGCAATATTTGTAAAAACTCTGACTGGTGCAAAAAATATTATTCAATTTCAAGTTGAACCTTCTGATACTATTGAGAATATCAAAGCCAAGATACAGGATAAAGTAGGAATCCCACCTGATCAACAGAGGCTTTTATTTGCTGGTAAAGTATTGGAAGATGGTCGTACACTCTTACATTATAATCTTAAAAACAAAAGTATTTTACACTTGGTTTCTGCTAAGCAAGTAAAGTTTGATGTCATAATGTCAAATGGTAAAACAATTACTCTTAAAGTTCTACCTTTGGATACTATTGGGGATATTAAGGCAATGATCCAGGATAAAGAAAGAATCCCACCTCATCTTCAGGTACTTAAATATAATTTTAATGAGTTGGATGATAACCAGACACTTTCTGATTATTGCATTCGAGATCATGCAATATACTTATGTACTCTTTCAATTAGGATTTACTTAAATTTTTTAAAGGAATCATTTGATATATCTAGGATTGGAGAAGATGCTACTTTACTGAGCATTAAGAAAAAAGCTAGCATTCACACTAGAATAGGAATACCAATTGAACAGCAACTACTTCTTTTAGACAATGAAGTTGTATCTGATGATTCTAAGCAAATCAAAAATTTTCGTAGATCGATACTTAAGTTTAAAGTACAAGTTAATCCACACTGTAGTCTTGGCCTTACTGTTGTGCTGCCTGGAGGTGTAAGAAAGACCTTTCATGTAGTCTTGAAAGGTCTCGTAGGAGAACTAAAGGAACAAATAAAAGCAACCACAGGAATACCAGTTTCTAATCAAATGCTTTACAGCCAATCAAATGAAAATATTTTAAAGAGTAAAGTACCTTTATGCCGGTACTATATTCATGGCGTTCCACCAACTGAAGTCATTGATCTTCTCGTTCTATTGACTATTCGTATATTGATGCCTTCAGGAGAGATTATTACTGAATCAATAGACTTAGATGAAAGTGTCCGTATTTTAAAGAAGAGGCTCTCAAGTAAACTAAACTTATCAAATTTTGACTTAATTTACAACCAGTATAAAATGGATGATGAAAAGTCTCTTAGTAACTACCAAATATATGATGATACTAACATTCTGGAGCTAATTTTAGGTAAGATATTAAACCAGTTATTTTTTATGATTGTCATTGTGCATCATTATTACAGGTACAGCTCCTGCTCCTGCTATGCCTGAGACTATTCCTCCTACCAGTCCTATTCTTTCTCCTCTTCCTACTGCTGCTGCTCCTCTTCCTCCTCCTCCTCCTCTTGCTGTTCCTAAAGAAAGGGATCTTATGAATGATGTTGCTGCTAAAGCTCTTGATAAATGGCTGATTGTTGGCACAATGCTCGGTATTCATTCATCAGTTTTGTATTCTTTTAGAGATCAACACAATGCTGACCCCATAGCCTGTTATCTTGCTGTATTTCATCACTGGCAAACAAGTATTGACTGTCCTCCCTACACTTGGGATACCATTGCAGAAGTGCTAGAAATGGAAGCTGTTCACAGATGTGACCTTGCTGCAGCAATTAGAAAAAAATACTTGTGATTACATTTATACATATATGTATTTAATAGTACATGCAAGCATGTTTTTGTAATTTTTGATCTCAATAATTGTATATGTTAGATATAGTGATGTGTGCGTGTGTTTTTTGTTTTGTAATTATTCTTGCATGTGTCATTAATTATTATTTGATTTATTATTCGTTATTATTTGATCCATTATTCATACTCTGAATTAGTATTTTTAATAGTGACAATTTTTGTGTAGAGCAAGAGAGATATTTTTTTGAAAATAAAGACTTTTAGATTGCCAGTTGGCAAATTATATCCAGAATTCAAAGAGAAGCGGTTTCGTGAATCGAGATAAATCTGTGCAGCAGTTCTAATTCCTCATAGTATAAATAAAATAAGAAATTAATAAGAAGCATAGCTAGCTGGGACCATAGGCTATATATATAAACGAACTATGTGCTCATTGTGCTGCGAAATTGCAATTGATGCAGCTACTGCAACTGAATAGAAGTAGCAAAAATGTTCCCTGGAGGTAACATAAGTGCATATAAGTGGTGTGTATGTAAGTGTTGGTCTATGGATCCCATATCATCCAGCTCTATGGATAAGAGGTTGCTGGCGTCCACTCGTGAAGACTTGTGGGAAAGATGGAGAGAAGGAGATATTAGAGTTCTATTTCTTTTCCAGTTTTCCTTCTCCAATCTCCAGGCTCCTCCTCTCTCTTTCCTCCCACGCAGTATAAAATTTTATATGCATCGATTTATGCTGTGGATCCCATTGCATTTTCCGCCCCCTCGTCAGCCCTTTTGTATTTCTTAAGTTTTGCTGTTGGTACTGAATTCTCTTGTTAACAATGGGCCAGACCCTGTCTAAGGTATGGGCATCCAATCAAGGGTCTAATGTGAATGTGGACATATCTTCTGGTGTCGTTGATACAGTGCCCCATCCTGATGAGACAATTAGATGCAGCTCTAGAATTATCTTTATCAGGAATTTCCTGTTTGGTGACTCTAGAACTTTTTTCATAGAAGCTGAACCATCTGATACTATTGAAAATGTGAAAGAGAAGATATCAAATAAAATAAAAATACAGCAATTCAGTTCATTGCAGAAAGAAGACATTTTGCTGATTCATGGTTCATGCCGCTTGATTGACAAAGACAAGACATTCTTAGATTATAAAATTCAAAATGAAGATACGATTTGTGTCGTGAAATGTTTCTTGCTTTATGTGAAAACTCTGACTGGTAAAACAATTACTCTTGAAGTTGTATCTTCTGATACTATTGAGAATGTTAAAGGAGCTATACAGGATATGAAGAAGGAATCCCACCTGATCAACAGAGACTCATATATGCTGGTAGACAATTGGAAGATGGTTGTACACTCTCAGATTATAATATTCAAACGGAAAGCACAATACATTTAGTACTTCGTTATCGAGGTGGTGGTGGCATGGTAATATTTGTCACTCTGACTGGTAAAAGAATTACTCTTGAAGTTGAACCTAGCTCTGATACTATTGAAAATGTTAAAGCAAAGATACAGGATGAAGTAGGAATCCCACCTGATCAACAGAGACTCATATTTGCTGGTAAACAATTAGAAGATGGTTGCACACTCTCAGATTATAACATTCAAATTGGAAGTACAATATATTTACATGTATGTCAAGGTGACTGTGAACATACATATGTGTTTGTAAAAACTCTGACTGGTAAAACAATTTTTCTTGAAGCTTTACTGTCTGATACTATTGAAAATGTTAAAGCAAAGATACAGGATGAAGTAGGAATCTCATCTGATCAACAGAGGCTTGTATTTGCTGGTAAACAATTAGAAGATGGTTGTACACTCTCAGATTATAATATTCAAAAGGAAAGTACAATACATTTGATAGATCCTGCTAAGCAAATGATAAGGTTTAATGTCATAACTTCAGATGGCAAAACAATTATTCTTGAAGTTCAACCTTCAGATACTATTAGGAGAATTAAGGCAAAGATACAGGATAAAGAAGGAATCCCACCTCATCGTCAGGTACTCAAATATAATTTTAATGAGTTAGATGATAACCAGACACTTTTTCATTATAGCATTCAAGAACATGCAATATACCTATGTATTCTTTCAATAACGATTCACTTAAATTTCTTAAAAGAATCATTTGATATATCTAGGATTGGAGAAGATGCTACACATAGGCGGTTGCAGGCCTGGGCATTAGGGGGCAATGCCCAGGTTGACTTTTTGACCAATAATTATATTCATGATTCTGGTGTGGGCATCCAGTGCAAACTGTGGTAGTTCAATAGGCTTCTTTGTTGTTTTAAGCTAAGAAACCATCTCAATGAAGTTATAGATCAGTATTGTCCATTTTCCTTGCAAAATTGTATGGAACCGCACCCACTCCACACCCACTAATTATTGATGCCCAGGTCAAACCAAATTTCTGCAACCGCCCATGATGCTACATGTACTTTACTGAGTATTAAACAAGAAGGTGCACTATAAAACCATTCACGCAACGTCATGAAATCGCTTCCGTCGATCACAGTATAAAAGGAGGTGCCCTGGGCACAATATGGCGGCCAGATTGAATGAAATTTGAAAATAACAAAATGGCTCCCGCACTGGCACTGTTCTTATCATGGCTAAATCACTAGCAAAACGCATTATAAAAACA